AGGAACCAGAAGAGGCGTATAATGAAGTCTCCAAGCTCCCCACCCACAAGGCTTTAATTAGAGAGACGTTAAGGGAGCCCCCCCAAAATTCGCATCTTGCACCTTCCTCCAACGCTCACCTTGTATCTGACCTGCTGGCCGGAGATGAAAAGCAGAAATCTTAGGGTTGCGCACTCCAAAGATGCTCTGGATCTACATCTTCACTGACTAGATCTACATCGAGCGCTTTGTGAACTACAGATAGTCCTCACTTAATGACCACAATAGGGACAGGAAAGTTGGTTGTTAAGCAGGGCAGTTGTTAAGCGAATCAGATCCAATTTTATGACCTTTTTTGCGGCGGTCATTAAGTGATTCACGCAGTTAAGTGAATCACATGGTTCCCCGAAGCCAGCTGGGAAGGTTTCAAATGCCGATCATATGACCTCAGGACGCTGCAACCTTTGTACGTGCAAGCTGGTTGCCAAGCACCCGAATTTTGATCACATGACTGTGGGGGGTCACTGATTATGACTGTGATGGTCGTAAGTGTGAGGACGGTCGTAAGTCACTTTTTTAGCACCGTTGTACCTTCGAGCAGTCACTAAACGAATGGTTGTTAAGCAAGAACTACCTGTAGATAAAACTTATTCCTACTGTATTTCTTGCCAGCTTGTGTCAGGACTGCTGTATTTTCGGATCAAGGCAACCCACGAAGGAGCATTAAATTATAACTGATTTGAAAGACTGGTAGGAAAGTGACCCAATTTGCAACTTTTCTTCAGACCATGAAAAGCTTCTTCTGTTAGCCCCCAATTTGATGCTTCCTATAGCAGTAAGTCTCGGGACTTGGCTCACCTTCTCTGGATCCCAAACCTAAGAGTCAGGCTTGATCAGCCTTTGGATGGGAGACCACTAGGAAAGCTCAGAATCTCCGGCGAGACTGGGAAGTCAGACGACCGTGCCCGAAGAAAACCCTGGCCAAACACACTTCTGTACTGGTGCCACAAAACCCCCACAGGTGGGTCAAGAGTAACAATTTGGAAGCGAAGCAGGCAGAAAACTATCCTTTTGGTACAAATGGACTTAAATTCTAAGCCACACTGGGAAGGAATCTGGCTGCAAAATGGAAAATGTGTAGTTTCCATGCATCCTACCGTTTTATTAATTAACCTAGCGCTCTGTTTTTCAACCTCACAAATTTAAGATGGGTGGACTTCAACTCCTGGAATTCCCCAGCCAGCATGTGTGGACTTCACACCCCAGCATTCTGGGAGTTGAAATCCCCCCATCTTAAAGCTGCTGAGATTGAGAAACCCTGGACTAACAATGAATTAATCAGACGATTAATCAGAGCCACGGAATGACAGCGGAAATCAAATTAGCGTGTGCAGGGAGATGGTGCCTGATTTAAAGACCGCCAATTAGCATTTCAACAATCCTTGTAAGGAGAAGATCAAGTCCTTGGGGAAAGAGGATGCAATTCAACCCACTCCCTTGAAGAACCTGCTTTCTACAGGCAGGGCTGTCAGCTATTCAGAAGGGAAGTTTCCCAGTGCCCTTTTTCTGCTTTTGATTTTTGGTTGGACTCTTTCCAAGCGCGCCAGAGACGAGAGACGGGTGTGACCGTTCGGTTTCACGCTTTCTCTTTTGACAAATTTACTCGGCAAGGCTTATTTCAAGTCCGGATCAATATTTTCACGGAACTGGAAGCAGGAGCCCTCAAGAGGAAATATCAAATAACTTGGGGCGGAATTTATTTTCCAAGACGATACCCTTAACCCTTTACCTTCTACTTTTCAGGCATCCAGCAAGGTTCCTCTCATCCCCAAGGTCCAGACTAAACCTAAATCTTTCCAACGGCTGTATTTTTCATTTTAAGGGAAAATATTTAAATTTCTAATTTTAATGAATTTAATTTTAATGAATTTAATTTTAATTCAGATTTTAATGAATATTTCAAATTCCATTTCAAGGGAAATGATTAAAAGTATCCATTATCAGCCTAAGCCAAAAGGTTCTGCAGGTTTTCCAAACCACACAAAAACCTGCCGGGTCTAATTTATCTCATGCCCAAAAAAGGTGTCGTGTTTTTGCAGATACCACCCCCCTCCAAAAGTCTCAGAGCAGCAAAGCATCATAAAATTATAAAACCGTCAGGTTGAGGGCTGTAAAACCAGCGGCGTAAATCTAAAGAACCATAAAACAAAGGCCCAAACGATTGCCTCTGGAACAAATAAAAAAAGTGAAATAAAATTGTCAACGCCGAGGGAACGAGACAGAAACGCAGATTATGGCTGATAATCTCTGTGAAAAGAGAACAGCCCGTAAAAAGAACAATCTGGCCAGAGGGTGCAAGGCATGAAAATCCCCAGCGTTTGCAGGGATCAATAATAAATGATTAATAATAACTAGTAACTAATCCACTGATCATTAGCAAATTAATAATTATAATAATAAAATAATAAAAGCAAGTTGTGACGTTGCCATGCAAACTCCACCTTTCCGGACTCGGGGCGCACCCCCGGGATACCCGTGGAAGCCTCTGATTCAAACGACTAGAGGGTCGTAGACGGGACCTCGGAGACCATTTAGTCCAGCCCCATTTCAAGGCGGGGCCCGCCTCGACCACCTCTGCACCCCCCCAGCGAAGGAGAGGCCACCAGTGCTGAACAGCTCTCCCCAGTAGCCAGTGCTTCCAACAGGATGCAATGCCATTGTCATTTTGAAGAATCGTAAAATGGAAGGGACCGAGGGCACCTCGAGGTCATCCAGATCCACCCTTCCAGCACTGCCAACTGATGCCCATCCGGCCTCTGTCGAAACCCCTCCAGCGCAAGAGGGTCCTTGTGACCTCAACCCATCTCTCTGGACACCCCGCAGCCCCCTTCTTGAGATCCTTCTCCTCCTTCCTCCAGAGAAGGACACCCTCTTCGGCAAAGGGTTTCGAACTCTCCTCTGGACACTCCCGGACCCTGGCATCCTGGGGTGGCAAGGCTCTTGCCGCTGGCGTCACGCAGCTCGTTGTCCCCAACTCATGTGCGGGCAAGAGGGAACAAGCTTGGGGTCACGCTTGGGAACCCCCACGGGTCTCCCGTGCCCTACCAGGCCAAGAACCAGCAGTGGCAAAGCCAAACCTTCAAAGGTGCCAATATTTCTCCTGTCAGGCCAGGGGAGGGAGCACCAGCTGGCATCTGGCGCACCCAGCCCCACCCGGCCTCTGAGAACGAGGTGGGCATCTGGCCAAGGCTGTTGCCAAACAGATCATCCAGGCTAAGGATCAAAGTCTCTGGAAAAGCAATGTTCTTAATAACCCCATGGATCGGCCCGGCCCTGGGTTTTACTTGTTATTTCATAGGATCATTCATAGGATGAGTTTTATTTCATAGGATCCTATAACTGGAAGGGGCCTTAAAGGCCGTCTAGTCCAACCCCCGGCCTGCCCAGGCAGGAATCCTCAAACTGTCCGGGCAAATAACTCTCCAATCTCATCTTGAAAACCTCCAGTGATGGCTCACCCACTTCGGGAGGACCCTATCCACTGTACGTGCGTTACCCTTTTATTTGGGGGCCTCGGAGATCTCAATGCAGCACGAGGCTGTTTCCCCCACAACAGCCCTGCGAGGTAGACCTGGTTAGCCACTCAGTGCGCTTTCTTAGCCAAAGGTGGACTGCAAGCCCAGCCGATCCAACACCACTACACTACACTACACCACACCACCCTGCTGAAGTAGAGGGCCCACTTACTAGCTCCCTGGAGTGGAGAGAAAAACCAACAGCCAATCCTTTTTCTTTCGGCTCGCGCAAAGTTTCCCACGCCAGAATCTACAGCCCGCCAGACAGCCACCATGCAATTTCCAAAAACTCGGGCTGTTCTGCACTTGAAAATCATGTCCCGGCGTTCCTGATCCACCAAATACATTCTAATTTTCTTTCAAACAATGCCTGAAGAAGTTGCAAACTGAAACTAGGAGCCATTCGCTCAAATGCCATTTTGCCCTCGGCTCAGGTCGGGGTCCTGATGGCTTTGGGGGGAAAAGGAAGCCAACTTTGGTTCTGGGACGTTCCTTCTCGATTGCAACCCTGAAAAAAGACTCGGGTCAGCACATCTAGGCTGGATTCACACAACACCCATGACCAGGTCGTTGAAAAGCCTAGCCGTTGCATTCCCCATGCCACGCAAGGTTGGTTTTAATGTTGGTTAGTTGGCAGTGGCTTCACACATGCGCTTGACAAACTCGTGGTTCACTGTATTGCACAAACTCAGGTTTCTGATGCCCTTTAGGGTTAAAAGGCCCAGGAATTACAGACTTACATACTCTTCCGGGCTCCAGTGTCCAGGCAGACCCTGCGGTTGGTTTTGGACCAGACGCTCTCCTTCCACCAGATGGCCCCAGCCGGCTTCTTCTGCTTTGTGGCAAAAGCCCCTGCGTGGTCTTGCCAGCCTCAAGGAGAGTTCAGACTTCTTTGAATGAGAATTATACTCCCGGATCCGAGTTGCGACAAGTCCCGGAGTTACGGCCAGCTCCCTGACAAAGGGCTCATCCGGGAGATGTTGGAAGCGCGCGTAATGGGGGCTTGAGCACTCGCTGTCGGTGGGAACATCCCATCTCCTCCACTTGGGGCTGAACATGGCTGGATCCTCTAGTGCACCATGGTTCTCAACAAGGGACACAACTCACTTGCCTGGGTGCAGAGTCCAAACAGCAGAGAGCACACCTGCTTTCTGAGGGTCGCACCCTGGGCCAAAGTGTCGCAGCTCTGAATCCAGACTCAGCCGGCTGATGGGATTTGGCAACCTCGACTTACTCAAAGGGCTTTGAATAAAGCAGAAATGCTGAGCAGCAAAAAACCCGAGAAGCTGCAGTTGGCGGATGCAGGCTGAGTTGAGGCTGAGCTCAACTTTGGAAGACGCTGTCACCAGGCTGGCACGGTGGCACTTCCTGGTTCTTGTGGGAAACCGGGCAGGGCGGAGAGTTTGTAAACTACTCCAAAGGTCAGGCTCTGGAACAGCTGAAGGGCTGTTATAGAAACCAATCAATCAATCAGAAATTATTTGCCGTCTAAGACCAAACACTAGGAACCAAACGGCGAGGAAGAGTAACTCCCGATTTTTCTTTGCGCTGGACCGTAATTTTTCTTTCTGGCCAGAATCACAAATGGTGAGATGGGCAGGCCTTGGAAATGGTTCAACTAAATCGACAAGCTAATTAGGCTGAATTCTAACCCTAAACCAAGCCCCCAAAAGTTGGACTTTATCAGCAGCTACAGCACAAAGCAAGCAACGCTCCAATGATAAATAAAATAAAACAATAAAATAAAATCTCTCTTGAGTTGAACTCTAGGACCTATCCATTTTGGTAGGGCTAGGGAAGTGAGTTGTCATGGCTTTCTTTCGACCTTCTGGCCTGGCTTCCAATTCTGAGATCTCCTCTTGGTCTTCCATCCAAGCATTAACCCATTTCCCACCAGCTTTCAGAGATTACTGTAGCCAAGTTTGGTCATGTGCTGCCACCTGCCTGCTGGTGATTATAAGTAACAGGCATAAACATCAACGCTCCTTTCTTGGCAAGGCTGTGGAGGAGTGGTTCCAGATGGCACAGATCTCAGTTGTAGCTCTAGAAATCTGCAAATGGGGAAGTGATGTCATCCTGGCTTGTACCAGTAGAAGGAGAAGTGTAAAAAAAACGAGGAAAGATTTCCTGCCTGGCAAAGACAGACGTGCAGCCAGCGCACCAGCTTTTGCCCACCTGATGTGACCAAAGAAAGCTGGATGTCTCTCCTTGGATGAGCAACCTGGCACTCCATTTTCAGTAACTTTCCAGAATAAGCATCGCCCAAGAATATAAGGACTCCCAACAATGCCTGCAGCTGGATCTCTGGAGAACATTTCTTTATTTCTAAGACAAACATCTATGCCAACTCTAGCCAGTGAGCAAAAGATAAAGAGGACGGCACAGAACAAGTTTTTAGACACAGCAGAGTCATACCTGTTGGCAGGACATACAATTTCACACTACTCTACAAATAAAGCCAGGGAAAAGAGGCAAGGTTGAACACCTCTGCTAAACGGCTACATGCAAAATGTGCAGCTGGGAGCAGACCGACAGGTGCTACGGATCCTAATGTTCCAAAACACCTGGAGGGCGCAACGTTGGAGAAGGCTGGTATCAAACTCCTGATGTGCCTTATCGGTATCAGTTTTCTCTTCCCACAAGGCTAACTTCTGATTTTATTTATGGTGAATAACTTTTGCCTCTTAGCGGTTGTATATTCACCTAGGCTTTTAACAACTATTCAAGATGTGTTGGTCCTTCAACCCCAACCCAAAGACGCATGGGTTCTCCAGCAGGTTCCAAAACACCTAATGCTGTTAGGGTGATGTTAGGAAGACCCGGAGAAGGAGTGGGCTCCTCTTCTCTGGATGTGGTCAAGCAGAACTCTCCAGTCCATTAATTTGGATGGGTGCACTAAGGAGAGGGCTGGACCTGATGACCTCAAGAGCCCCGTTCAACTCAAGGATTCTATAGTGAGCGTGTGCATGCACACTCAAGCACACAGATACGGAGAGGGTATATCATTATGAATACACCGCTCTGCTGTCGTAAAACCACACCCCCACAGCTCATAGTCGAGGAGGCTTATAAAAATGATGCAAAACGGGGCCGATTTGTCACTTTAGAAGAAATCAAAGCCCGTTTCACACCTCTTCCCCAGTCACTCCTGGTGAAGTGCAACGGTGGCCTTCTCCAGAACTTAAAGAACCAAATTTACCCCGTCAGGCCTGGATCTGGGATGTTGGTGTGGTGCAGCACACGTAGTGAGCAACGAGGGGGTCAAAAGATGTGGGCTGCTCATATCCAAACACCCCTTTTGTGATCCAGATGGGACTCCCCCCCCCGAATGGACAGAGTCAAAATGTTCAGTCCGTTTTCCCGGGGGGGGGGGGGTTCAAAAGGCAAAAATCATGCATTAATCCTCAGGGGGAGGGTACCCATTTCTCCACTTTAAAGAGCAAAATTCAAGGGGGGGTGAAATCCCATTTTCCTCCCCAAATACAACTCCCCCTCACTGCTCCCTCCCCCAGAAGGCCCTCCAAAGCTAAACAGGTTACGCTGAAGCAGCAAGAAAAGGCCCACTTTTGTTTCATAGCCCCCCCCACTGATGCTTTCTCCACCTTGGCCTGATAAGGTAACAACACCCAGACAAGGTAGTCTATCCCCCAGACAGCAGCACCGAATGCAGCCCCTTCCCCGCCACGGGCTAGTCCCTCATCCATCCACATGCGCCCCCCCCCGACTCACCAAGACGTCAGCACTTTCCCGGCGAAGCGAGAGCTGCTCCAGCCGATCCAGAGAAGGGGTGGCGAGGAAGGAGGGGCTGAGGCCCACCGGGCGCAGAATGGGCAGACTGAAGGATTTGCTGTCCTTCACCGCCTCTTCGACCTTGAGATCGTTCCCCGGTTTGGCTGCAATGGAGGAAGAAACACGGCGCTCTGGACCGGCTGCTACGAAAGCCGCTTCCTAGCGCTCTGCTTGGGGGGGCTGCGCATACGGGGCCCCTCGGCCCACCCGCTGGGGCAGAGAAGAGCGTTCCTCCAGGCAGGTGTCCTCCTACGCTCACCTGGTGCTGCACAGGTGAGATTATTCAATTGGTTATATCGTTAATCCAGCCCATGATGACATTTCTCTGGCCAGAGACGGATTGTCAAATCATCTTTTCTCTCCCACCACCTTGATCTTTTCCAATTCTGGGCCAATCCCACAATCAAAAACATGATCAATGATCTAGTCAGTTTCACTCTGCTCAATGATGTAGTCAGTTTTGCCCTGCTCAATGATCTAGTCAGTTTCACCATGCCAGGAGAAACTTCCAGCTTGATTTTCCTTGCTTGTAGAGGGTTGTTTGGTACAGCAGCTGCCTGATCTTGGAAGCTCACACAGGTCTGCCATGGTTTCAGAGCTGGGTCTAGGACTGTCTAAACTGGGATGTTGCTACAAACACCTGATTAATCATAATTTTTAAAAACCGCCTCTCTCTTACAAACCAGAAATTGGATTGTCAGCTTAAATTTATGGTTTGGTTTTAACTCTTCTACGCCATGCAGAATCACTGCTAGGAGATGTATGAATCCTAGCAATGAAGCAGGCAGAGTTTAGTTGGGGCCACAATGGAGTCATAGGACTGTGGCATTGGAAAGGGACCCGAAGGGTCATCTAGCTCAACCCTCTGAGACCCGACATGCCAATAAACTCCTCAAAGAGAATAGGCTGTGTCGAATCGAATCAGACTGAATCTTTATGATGGTCAATCGCCATCAATGAAGAATCTAAAAAGCACGTGGCACGCGTCAATCAGACGTAAATATGTGCATAAAACACATAAATA